CCTAGCCCCAAGAAAAAAATCTTAAAACTATGTTCTTCCAAGCCAAAAATGTGGTGGTGGGGAGTTAGCTATTTTCAGTTAGTAAGTCATGAGATTTTAAAATTTGTTTTCATTATAGTCTTATCTAAAAAATCAGAATTAAAGTCCTTAAGAAAATTAAGGAAGTAGGAGTGTGGTGGCACACTCCTGTAATTCCAATTACTCAGGGGCCTGACACAGGAGGATTGCAATTCAGCAAGACTATGTTTCAAAGATTTAAAACAGGGCTGGGGATGTAGCTCAGTGGTAGAATGCTTGTGATCTACTTTGTACTTAAGCTTCAACATTCAACGTTAGCCTTCATGGAATCAATAAATTATTACAAAATACACCGAGCTTCATAGTACCCAAATCAATAAGGATGTAAATATTTAACTCATACTTGAAATTTATCTTTTGCTTTGATCTTTAAATTATTTATATTTTGGGTTTCTTATAAGAGAAACAATGTGATATTTAAGATTGCATGCCTGATTTATTTCATTTAACATTATGATCTCAGGGTACATCCATTTTCCTACATATGACTTAAATTTACTCTTTTTTTTTTTTGTCTTTTTCCTTTTTATCGGTACCGGGGATTGAACTCACGACTGCCTGCTTGCAAGGCAGGCGCTTATGCCGCTGAGCTAAACCTCCAGACCCTAAATTTACTCTTTTTGGTAGTTCAGTAATATTCTTTCTCTCTCTCTATATATATATAATGTATATATATTGTGTATAGAGTATATACATTGTATGTGTATACAATGTATATATATTGTATATATAGATGTAATAGAGTATATATATATATATCAGTTCTTTATCCATTCAGTTGTTTTTTTATATATATAGATATATGTAGATATGTATTTTATACATATATACATAGATATATGTAAATATATATCATATATATATATACATAGATATCTATATATATTTACTTTCTGAAGCAATTCTGGAAGTCTTCTTTCATGAATGTCTTTAGTTGTGCTGTTGTGGCTGCCTCAGTGTCCTGAACTGATTCAAAATGACCTTACATGGTAATTTTGACTTTGCAGGTGTCACACAGTGTGAGACCCAAAGAATAAGGTAGATTAAGATATATTATAACATTGACAGAATTTGCACATGGAAGCAACCATGAAAAGAATTCATGAAGGAAGACTTGCAGAACTCCTTCAGAAAGTGGCAAAATGATGGGATAAGTGTATGTGAAGTGAGAGGGAGTACAGTATTTGGAGGGTGAGTATACTGGTAATGTTCACAGCTCTTTTCTTTTTTTTGGTACCAGGGATCAAACTCATGATCTCACGCTTGCCAGGGAGGCACTTATGCTGCTGAGCTATATCCCCAGCCCTGTCGTCTTTTTACTGTAATACATTTTAAAATTTTTATTTAAACAGTCACCATATTTTATGATCACAGCACATGAACCTTTAATTCACATTTAAAATAACAAGTCAATTGTTTTCTAATATTGAGACTTAGCTGACTTCTTCAGCTTCAGGAACTGAATCTCTTTTTAAATTTTGCTATTGAACTGGTTAAAGTGGGCTCACCTCTAGCTTGGTGACTTGAACTGCTCTGGTCTCTCCTTATTCTCTTGGAGAATTTTCTGTTCACTTTACCTTTCGAGGATACAATGTTGTCCAGTCACAAGGCTCCCGAGACACTCCTAGAGGCTTCCTTCCAGGTCTCATGCTCTATGCTGAGTTCCTCCATTGCCTCCTCTTTAGGACAGAACTTTGTAAACTTATCAGACATTTGTTTGGCACATGACAATCCTTCAGCATGTGATAGCCCTTCAATAAAACTAGTCTGGAGATATGGGTGATCAGTAACGCTGAAGTTTTCTTCCTTTAACCCAAGCTTTTACAGCTTTGATCTGAATGGCTATCACTCTTCTAGGGTAGAGAGGACTGTGGGGCCCTATCTAGGTTTTCAGAATCCTAGGACCACGCCCCCAAATGGCTATCTGGTCTTTCTCTAATTTCCAGAAAGGAACAACAGAAGCCAGTTGTAAATTTAAGTGAAATAAAGGTGAGCAGTGACAAGAGAAAAATATTCCTATAAAAACAATGGAGAGAGTGCTGGGAGGCTGTAAAAGTCCTGCAAGACAGGCTCTACCTTTAAGAACATTCAGTCTGAAAGCCATAGATAGAAAGATAGAGCTAGACAGATACATTAGGTTAATGATGACAGCAGGCAGAGAATGAGAAGTAAACAGAAGTGCTGAGGAGCGGGGGAGGTTGGACTCTTGCAGCCTCGGAGTCAGGGAACGTGTCTCATGGGGAAGGCAGGAGCTGCAGCTAGAATTCTAAGGTGAAGTTCAGCTATGGGAGAGAGGAAAGAGATACTCCTAACACCATATCCTCATGTTAGGGCCCATAATTTTACTGTAAAATTTCTTTTGAAGCCTCCCTATACTTGCTAGTTTAGACTTAAATTTACAACTGGCTTCTGTTGTTCCTTTCTGGCTCTACTCACTTCTTTGCTTGCCTTTGCCTGTTAAATTTCTACCACAGTTGGACTTGAAGGGTTTGGTCTTCTCCAGGTAGTGGCAGCAGGAGAGATGAGTTCCGTATGCTGCTCTGTCTTTGGCTGGAAAAACATCTTTTTAGAGTGAATACAATTTGCAAAACAATTTTTTTCTCTGGCTGAGTAAAAATTTTAAAAACTTTTTTGAGGATTAGTATCAGATTTCCTCCCCAGATATCAACATGGATTTGCCAAATGATTGAACTTTGCAGTCCAAGTATTTATAGACTAAACTAATAAGTTGGACGATGCAAAAAATAATGAAAAACAAGAAGCATGCATAATATCTAAATTGTTTCTGTAGTTATTAAATAATGGAAAGTCATTTGTATTTTTTTCCTTTATATGTGGTCGTGGCTTTTTTAGATTATGAAAATTTCCATTGATATTCATTGAAGGAAACTTTTCTGTCTTTTTCTCTCCTTATTGACCTCATGTGGCTTAGCTGATGTGTGTAGCTCCTTCCAAAGCAAGGCACCTGACTCATTTGAAGGACATTTGTCCTATGATCTGATGAATTTAATTTAGCTCTTATATACCTGTGATGGGGGTCAATCTTTATATCTCCAGATTTTATGCTGGACTTAATTAGTTCAGTTTATTAATAGTTTCCAGGGCTCAAAAATCTTTGTAGTACATGCTGTTCTAACATGTTTTTAGATTGTACAAAATCACTGCATATAGATAGAGAGCTCAATTTTTTAGTTGGAAAAAAAGCAACTTTAAAGTACAGATTGTTCTTCCTAGGCCATATTAAGTGAAAAAAAAAAAACCCAACTGTTAGTAGAGAAACCATAAAAATTATCATGCTCTTTGTACCCATTGCCCCTTTCTGATAAAGAGCAAGATAAAAACCCAGACACTCTCAGCAGTTTCTAGCATGTGAAAATTTGCATTAACAAGCCTCTTATCTGTTAATCCAACAGCATTGCAACATATTTTTGTTATACTTGCCCCTTCTTGAACTCACCTGCTCCTATTTGCCAAGACATAAGAGAGTTTCTGAAAGAGTTCCAAGAGCCAAACTTGACCTTCCACACTTGCCCAGATTTGTAGAGCGTGGATCATAGAGACTTGGCTCCTTTCTGACCTTGGGGGCAGAATAACCTAACCAAATCAAGACTAGGATGACCAAATCCCTTTAGGTGTCTTGCTTTATACTAGCAGAGGTTGGCTGGTCTGTTCATAACCCTACCCCTAAGCCCACTCCACTTCCCTGCCTCTTCCACATAGCATGGCTTTTTCTGTTCAACAAAGACTTACTGAGCTTTGTGTGTGACTGTCTTCTAATTGCTTCTCTACCTGCTTTTCCACCATGCTCTGTACCCCCCGCAGGGCTGACCAGTAGGGAATGCCTCAAAAGGCTCCTTAGGCCTGTGACTCAATCTCTTCACCCGCTGTGAAACCGTAGCAGGAGAGGAGAGTTTGGGATGCTTAGTACCTATCTCTCTTCAGAGGGATCACTAGTAACCCTTGTCCATGTAGGAAGTTTCTTCTTACTCTCCTCTTTTTTGGATTCCTGGATATTCTGCTTCTGGACCTTGAGGCCTAGGGTTGACAGTGTCCCTCCCTAAGGTACTTGTCCAGGTTACTACTTCATGCCTGTGCTTTACTTTGGCATCCTACATGTAAATTTCCTAGCTGTAGTGTGTCATCTGTTTCTGGATGGGACCCTGACTGATCACTGTGGGCCAAGAGAACCATAGTATTCAGATGTAGTGTTTTGCTCACTGGAGTGGCCAGTAACCTCCTTCAGAAAGCAGTGCGTGGTACAGTGGACTGGATTGCCCAATCCCCTGTTGGATAACTCTGGGTAAATTATTTCTTCTCTTCGGCTCTCTTTTCCAATATGTAACAGGTGTCGTAGGCTACATGGTATCCAAATTCCTGATGAATTGCACAGGAGCTCATTCCAGAATATCCATTTTGAGTTCTGAGTTTTATACCCATTGTGGAGGGCATTGCAGGCATATTAGTTCTCTGAGCATGCTGCCCTTATTTATCTAACAACAGCCATGAACACGTGGGCAGTGTATTTTCCAACAGCAGTAAGAATTTTGTAAGTGGATTATGAATTGCAGCTTATTCATGTGGTCCATCAGCGTTTAAGGGCTTGGGACCCCACATCTTGACTGCTGGTGTAGGTGGCTCTGTGAAGTAAAGAAGCGAATGTGGCCCATGGGCTCAGGGCAGGAGTTCAAGGCCACAGTCCAGCTCCACATTCCTCAGCTAGGGAAATGCAATAGGTCAAGAGACTTTTCATACGTTCGGACCTCGTCTTTTCGCCAGAAAAGGCAGGGCAGTGATCCTAGCGTTTGGGGAGCAGGCACAGTAGCCTAGCACGGACTCGTGGTGGAGCGGCGGGCGCCCCCATAGCTAGCGCAGGCATTCTGCTGCGCCCAGAGGAGTGGGTGGGGCCAGCATGGGCCTATACGATTGGTGCTTTGCCCTCGCCCCAGCCAATGGCTGAAGAGTATGTCTTGGGGCGGGGCGGACGCCGCGTCTTAAGCTTTGTGACGCGCTGCCCAGCTCTGCTCCTCAAGTCGCCACTTTGTGTCTTGGAAGGTTCTTCTAGACGCTATCAGGTACCACGCTGGTCCAGTAGTGTTGGGCTTTGAGGGCTGGGATGTGCGATCGCTGGTTGAAGAGGCTGGGGGGGCTAGGTTCTGGGAGGCGGCTGACTTGTGGGCGGCCCTTGTGGGCAGGGCAGCGGTCCATCCGCGACCCCGAGAGGCTGGTGGCGAGGAGACAGGAAGAGGCTGTGGATGTGGCACCGCTGCCTGCCAAACCGGGCGGAGCCGCGGGCTCCTGGCTCGCGGCCCGCAAGGCTCAGGTCTCGGCCCTTCCTGGGGACTTCTCCAAGGCCTGAAGCCTCAGGCCTCGGGGTTTCTGAGAGGGAAGCGTTGAGGGCTCTGGGTTCAGCGGGTACCCCAGGTCGGAGAGAAGGGTGCTTTGTTGATACTGGGGAACTGCACAGCCAACGGGTGACTTTGGTTGCAGGCGAGGTCGCTGCAAACCCTGTAGTGCAGATTCTGGGCCTCGTGCCAGCCCTGTCCAACCTTCCCTTCTGTCGGCTTCCCACTCCTTCCATTCTTTGTCTACATTAAAGAATTGCAGAAGTAGATCGTTATTGTGTACAGGCACGTTAATTAGATGATGTGAAGGCATTTGGCCTACAGGACTTAGGCAGAATACCTACCTATCTCCCTCATTCTTAGGATTCCTTTGCAAATGGTGCTGAGCATCAGTAAATTCTAACTGAATCCTCCCTTTGTCATGCTGTATCTTATCTTTTGGTGTTGAGCTTTACCATTTAAATAAGTTAAGGTGATAAATGAAGAGGCAAAAGAAAGAATGATTTTGGAATGAAGTGGCTTTACTAATCTTCAGTTTCTCTGTTCTAAATCTTTCTGAGAATTTCTGTAAGTAAACTAGTTTTTGCACTTGATCCTGGAAATGCTTTTTAGATTGCAATTCAGTCTTCATCTCATCCAAATGAAACAGTTGGAGCCTCTCATGAGAATACCTAAGTGTGTGTGTGTGTGTATGTGTGTGTGTGTGTGTGTGTTGTTTTTAGAGGATCTAGTTCTTGACTGTGAAAGATTCAATTAGTATCAATTAATAAAAATAAGATTTAAATTACAGAGCTTATAGTTTTTCAGTGTTTAAGGTGGTTTTGCACTAACCCCCTTTCTTTTTTTCGGTTCAAAGAGGCTGCCTTAACATGTTTTGAGGCTGGTACAGTTATTTGGTGTATGTTTTATGCACTTTACTATGTTCTAGAGGATGGACCAAGTCTCATACATTTTGTAATAATAACCAGTGAACAGAAGTTTGGAGGTGTGTGGAGGGTGTGGTATCATTGACCCAATCCTTTTTCAGTAGTAACGCTGTGTCAGTGACACACTTGAGTTGAATTTTCGTCAGAATATTGATTAAGTAAAAAAAAAAAAAAAAAAAAAAAAAAGCTTTTGCTGGCAGGATTTACAAAAAAACCGTATTTGTGAATGGTTACCTCAAGAAAAGTAAATATTTGACAATAGGAAAAGCCAAATTTACACAAGTTGAATATTTCCAATGACTTTTTGATGACTGTATATACACTGATTATTATTTTAAGATTATTTGAGAAAATAGTATTTAACAATGAAGGCTAATTTAGCTCTTCTGAATACAGCCTTTTATGAAAATCATTCTCTAGAGACGTTCTAATATAGATCTGTTGGTGTGATGGAGAGGGAGTAATGGTGGCCTGAAACTAGTGTTATGTATAAAACATTTAATGACATTTAATGTTAAAAGTGCTCAGATTGTCAGTAGCAATTTGTTTTCATTTCTAGGAGCTGAGTACCTGTTAAATGCATGACTACATCTTAAAACGTATTTTGACCTTTTCAGATCTAAGGAAGTGACCTGTTGAAAAGATTTGTTTTTCCAGATAAGGTCAGAGAGTGTGATGATAGCTTCCGCTTGGATTAGATCAAGTTGACTAGGGATAAGCGATTTAATTTTTTCTGGTGAATTCTAATTCACTTTTTTTTTTTTTTTTTGTCTTTTTAAGAAGCTTGGAGTCTAGCAGGAGTTGCAAGTACAAAAGTCAGTATCCCGAAGTGTTAGGAACTGTGACAGAAGACTGCAAAGTTCTAGGAATTTTCCATGAGTGACTTAGGTGGTAAATTCTATAGGAAAGGACGGGAAACTAAACAAAACAAAACAGCTAATGTGTATGTATTTATGCATAGAAAAAAGTTAGTTACCTTATGGAATTACACTTAGTTTTCTTGCTTGCTTTCTATTTTTTTAATCAAAATTTTATTTTTAGGACAAAATATTTAGTTTTAAAAAGAAACCATGGCACTGTTTTTGTGTTGTAAAAGTTGATTAGTTCTCTTGTGACTGTAAGAGCAGAAAGGAATAAAATGAACGAACATTTCGTACTAGATTTAGAGCTTTCACAAGAGCTCCTAATCTTCTGGAATACCCTTGAATGACTTCAACCTAGTTTTACAATAGGAAAAGTCAAGTGTGGGAAGATTAATACAATCACCTGGAGATACTCTTTTTTTTTTTTTCTTTTTTTGTCTTTTTCATTTGAGCTGCAGACAGCATTTAAATCTTGGTCATTGAACTCTTGTGGACTTTCTCATTCTATTCTGATTTTGCAAACCTATTTGGAAAGGGAGATTATTGATGGTAGCTATTTTAAAGCTATTTTAGTATTTCTCATATAATGCCAAGCGAAGTAATGTGAACACAAAGCTTCTTTAATATAAATGTGCTTACAGGAACATCATGAAGTAGGCAGTTTGTGATTTTTCCCAGTTGAATAAAATAAAGTTCATATTTAAGAGCTTGAAGAATGAGAACTAGCACTGTTTAAAATGTTACTGTTTTATCACTGTTTTATGTTGGAATTACCCCTTAATAAAACTACTTGAACTCAGCAGATGGATCTTCGTCCCATTCCCACTGGGAATTAGCTGAGCAGATAACTACTGTATAAAATGGAATAAGTTTTATGATCATGTTAATTAATTTAGAAAATGCTGTTTAGTGTGTTTTTAGAATCTTTTTATACTTTATTTTTGAGTGCTTCTCCCTTTCTGTGCTGTGAGGTCACAGAGATGTAGACCTGAATAGTGAAATCATCATGTAGATAGTTTAGAATTTGACTCAGGATATTAGACCTAATTATCATAATCAAGCCTGCATTTCTTAGGGGTAATAACTTGTACCATTCTTTTTTAACTACATTGTGTTCTCTCAAGTTTATCAAACCCTTGCTTTTAGCTTAATTTGTTACCTAAATTTTGTCTAATGTAACAAAGCTATTTTTTTTTTTTTTTTGCATGTCAAATATAACTGTATGTCGCTATGTCCTAATTACCTGGGCACCCAGTTTCATGTTCAGTGTTTCTGATTATAATGATATGTAATTCACATCATTGTAGAATACTTTGCCACAGTGGAAACTTTTCTGTAGTTTTATATTTTGTACAGTTGTACATCCTGCATGTATGATTTTATTTTCTTCATTTGAGTAAATGTTACCACCATATCACTAAACATTATGCATTTATTTTTGGGTTTTTTTGTTAGTTGGGAATTGAACTCAGGATCTTGGGCTTGCCAGACAGGTGCTTGTGCCGCTGAGCTAGGGCTATAGCTATAGCCCTAGCTCAGCAGCACAAGAGCCTGCTTGGCAAGCACAAGATTTTGAGTTTAATCCCTGGTACCAAAAAAACAAACAAAAAACCTCACTTATTTTAAATGACTGTGCATTATTTGCACAATTATGTTGAGTCATTCTACTGTTAAACATCTTTTATGCATGAATAGTGTGTCTTTATAGCAACAACTCAATTTTTGCATTTTTAAAATAATATTGTGGAAGTGAAATTACTGGTGTGTGTACAGAGTTTTGAAGCTTTTATCATAGTTAACAACTCTTCAGAAAGTTGCTTCACTGTATATTACTATGAAGTATGTCTGAGAGAATATATTGCTATTTTAGTGCTAATTTGATAGGCAAAAAGTAATGTTGCTTTAACTTTTTAGTGGTAAATGTTTAATTCATATTGAGTAGAGCATAAAGAGTAGAAAGAAATTATAAAATCAGAATTTTAGACTTATTAGGAGTATTTTGGGGATGTTCTCTCTGGTACAGTTAGACATTTTTGTTTGTGGCTTCTGCTGGCTTAATGAATCTTACATCACTTTTTTGTTTGTTGATATATACCACTTTGAGATAAAATCTGATGAAAATTACTGACCTCAGAAAAATACACTTCTGCATTCAATTCTGCATTTTATTTTAGAGTTACTGGACCCTCTGAAGATTTTCCTTGGATCTCCAGTGGAAAAATCTATATTCTACTCTGAACCGTGGGAAAAAAGAATAGTTGGTAAGTCTTTGGCAAATCAGTGCTGTGTTTTGCTTAGTAATTGTGAACTCCTGAACACATTGGGTTTAGAATGTATTGCCAAGTTGAGAAGGAAGTAAGCCAATTTTACTTGTGTTTTGCTACCTTGGCCATTCGAATCAAGAATGCTGTGAGATTATGCATGGTTTGACTTGTTATTGATAGAGTTTGTTGAAACATGTATTAGCTAGGCTTTTAAAAAATAAGTTTGTATAGACATGATTCTTGGCAACTTTCTCCCGAATCTTGAATCCATCTTACAAACATTTGCCTTGCTATGTATATTCTTGCATTTCTTTTCTCTTAGTTTCTTTGGTAGCTTATCTTTACTCCTGGTTTATCATGATGCTGAATGGTAAACCAGGTATAAAAGGTGGATAGAACACTGATAAAAGGGGGGGTGGCTTTAGGGATGGTGAGGACTGGAAAGACTAATGAGAGACTTTGAAATATGTAAACCTGTGCGTGCTCCTGGTTTTAGTACTGAGATTCCTATAACTGCCTTAACTAGAGTTTGTTGTTCTCTAGGTTCTAACTGCTTTTTTCTCCGTCAAACAGTTGTTTGTTGATACAATTTTTTAAAAAGTGTTTTTTTTTTTGAGAGCAATAAGTAGTTTCTTTGGGGAATTGCCTGTTCTTTATATTTATAATTATTTTGGTTCAACTTACGGTAAAATTACAAAAGCCATTTTCCCTAGTCTTTTTTTTTTTTGCCATTCATCTTTGTGGATGATAAATTTGACTGATAGAAATTTTAGATATTTGTGACTAAATTGTTGTATTTACCTTTTGTACTTTTGGTGTTCAGCTCTTCCCATTCCCATAAAGTCACTTTTTCTCTTAGGACGATCCCTGTTATCTTTGTAGAACCCAAATCCTCTCTTCCTTTCTTTTTCCTTGCTTCCTTCCTTCCTTTTTTTTTTTTTTTTTTTTTGTGGTCCTGGGGATTGAAGCCAGGATTTCTTTCCCACATGCATTTGCTTTACCCTTGAGTTGTATGTCCAGTCCCAAATTCCTTCTCAGTTTCTTCACTTTCCATATACAAGGACCAACGACCAAGTCAAAATGCCGAATAGAAGTGAGGGTGGTGGCGGTGGCAGGGTGGTACTGGCTGCAGTGGCAGTGGTGGCATGGCCATGTACTCCCACCTATGAGGGGCCAGCCTGCGCAACATAGCAGGACTCTGTCTCAAATAGTTTTCAGCTGCTGCCTTCTGCCCCATGGCTACTGACCAACATCCTCCTGCTTTGATTTGGTTCCCTGCCTCTGATTTCTGCTCTATCGAGGCAGAGGCACCATCTGATGGTATCAGGCCTGAGAGTAATTAGTAGATGCTCACCAGATGTTAGCGAGCAGATGTATATTGAGTCTGGAAAGGTTTTTACTCTTAATGCCTTCTCTTTCTTTTGGACAGGCCTGTGATTTTGTTTTGTTTTGTTTTTTGAAGGGCACAATGTTTTCCAAATTAGCACACTTGCACACCTTGGCTGTACTTCGTCGCGGAGTTCATTCTTCAGTGACTTGTGCCACATCTGTTGCAACTAAGAAGACAGTGCAAGGCCCTCCATCTTCTGATTACATTTTTGAACGAGAAGCTAAATATGGTGCACACAATTACCATCCTTTACCTGTGGCTCTGGAGAGAGGAAAAGGTATGCTTCAAATTAGCCTCCATTCTTTTTGCTTGAAAATTCTTTTATAAAAATGAATTGCTTTGTGCTTTCTCAGTATCCATTTCCCCAGATGCGCTGAGTGTCTGAGTTGCAGATAGGGTTCATGTATCCTGCCTGTGCGTCTGGTGCAGCTCTTTCGGGTGCTGGGTAGCCACAGACGTGATCAGTTACTCTTTTTTCTTTTTTTCTTTTGTACTGGGGATCGAACTCACAGTCTCACACTTGCCAGGCAGGTGCTTATGCCACTGAGCTAAGTCCCCAGCTGTGATCAGTTAGTCCTAGTCATGGTGGCTTCACCAAGAGGAAATGCAGGAGAAATATGGAAAGTACTGTAATATTACCGTCATTTTTTTCTGGTAGCTTTTATTTTGGTCTAATTTTAGACATACATGAAGAAAAGTTGTAACAACAGTATCACTTTTTCTTTTATTATTTTTTCAGATTTCTTAAGTGCTGACATTTTACCACTTTTGTCATGTTCTTTCCCCTCCCTTCCAACTCCTTTTTTTTTTCTGAACCATTAGGAAGTTGCAGACATGACACCTCTTCACCCCTAAATATTTAATGTATATCTCCTAAGATAGGACTTTCTTTTTTATAGCCACATCTAATTAAGAAAATCAGGCAATTAACACTAGTAAAGCACCATTAGCTAATCTATAGATCTAATTGAGATTTAATATCTTGCCCTTTGTAACGGAAGAAAACTACAGGTTGTGAGTCACATCCAGTTATTATGTTCGGTTGTCTTCCATTCAGAGCAATTTCTTAGTCTTTTTTTTACTTCAATACTTTTGAGGTACACTGGCCAATGATTTTGTGATATACTTCACTTTGGGCTTCAGTTTGCCCATGATCACAGTCAAGTCAGGCACCTTTGTGCACTGATGTCCGACCCTTCTAGCAGGAGATGTGTCCATTCGTCTGTGACTGCCAGTGTTGATTTCTATCACTTGGCAAAGTGATGTCTGCTAGGCTTCACCACTGCTTGGTTGTATTATTCCCTTTGTATGAAGCATCTTGTGGGGGTTTGAGCCTCGGCATCTATCCTGTTGTTCATGAGATTTTTACTTATCTGTTGTATTCTTGCTCAACTCAGTTATTACAGTGATCATTGTTAAATAGTGATTTAATCTGCACTTAAAATTTTTTATTTTAAAAAGAAAAAAATAAAAATGATACAGAATTTCAAAACATAATAGATTAACAATGGTTAATATTTTGTGTATAGTTATCTTCAAAGTAGTTGTTCAGATTACAAGATATAGACATGAAAAATTTATCAGACAGTGTAAGCGCTATTTGTTCTTTTTATGAACCAGTAGGTTAATGGCACAATTATCTGTCTTTCTCCTTTTCTCTTCTTTTCTCTTTTCCCCTATCTCTGTTTCCTGGTTTAATGCCAGATGATGACTGTTTAAAAGGGTATTAAACATTTTTGTCATTGCCTTTGTTATTTGGTAATATAGACATGCCTTCTTTTGAGAAAATGAAAATCTGGATTTATGTATCACAAATTCAGAAACAATTTGTTTTATGAAAATACTCTTCAACTACACAGGCAAAATTTGGACCCCAGGAATCGTGCTACGTGGGTTCATTTTTGTTCCTATGTGCCAGCCCAGTGTAGTTATTAACATTAATATCCATTTTCTTAGATCCATGAGCAGTGATGGTAACTCTCATAGGTTTTTTTTTTTTGGATAAGCTAAGGGTGTGAAAGCACCTAACATGGTGTTAACAAGTTCCTTAATGCCTCCTAATACAACATCTATAGTCAGTATTTAAAAAAATGATAAAAATATGAGTGAAAAAATTTACCATTTTAGGCACAGGTATGTAGTCTAGTGGTAAAATGCTTGCCTAGCATGTCTGATGCCCTGGGTTAGGGTTAAGGTTTCTTTCACTTAGCCTAATATTTTCCAGGTTCATTCATTCATATTGTAGCATTTCACTTTAAAAAAAAAGAATTCCACTCTAAAAGTTTTTTATAGTGTTCTATCCTTTTTTATGACTGAATAGTATTTGGCTGTATGTGTGTACCACATTTAATATCTGACTGTGTGGGTGTACCACATCTGTAGTTCATAAGTTGATGACTTTTTTTTTTGTCTTTTTGCTTTTTATCGGTACCAGGGATGGAACTCAGGACTGCCTGCTTTCAAGGCAGGTGCTTATGCCACTGAGCTAAATCCCCAGCCCCAGTTGATGACTTTTGAATTTTTTCTCCATTTTGGCTCTTGTAAACAGTGTATGGTATAAATACCATACAAGTTTATGTTTGAATACCTGCCTTCCAGTCGTTTGGGGATAAACTAGGAGTAGAATTGCCTACCTCCTTGAGTAATTGCCAGGCATTTTCATAGTGCCTATACCACTTCATTTTATATGTTTACTAGCAGTGTATGACATCACCAAATTCTTTTTTTTTTTTTAATTGGTACCAGGGATCAAACTCATGACCGTCTGCTTGCAAGGCAGGTGCTTATGCTGCTGAGCTAAATCCCCAGCCCCATCACCAAATTCTTTACATCTTTGCCCACGATTGTTTCCTTTTCTAAAAATTGAATATTGAATATGAAATGGTATCTCAATGGTTTTAATTTGCCTTATGACCAGTTATATTGAGCATATTTTTATGTGCTTGTTAGCCATTTGTATGTATTTGGAGTAATAGCCACTCAAGTTGTTTGCTCATTTTTAAATGTCTTTTTGTTATGGAACTCTGCAAGGAGGATCAAAATATACAGTAAGTACTTAAAGAAAAATTTAAAAAATTGATTGCAGTCAAAAAGAAAAATTAAAAAAATTGGTTGCAGTCAACGACACTGACACTTATTCCACTCAAAATACTCCCTCTGGCTTTAAGCACACTTTTTTTTTTTTTAAATTCTATTTTAGGGGCTGGGGATTTAGCTCTGCAGCATAAGCGCCTGTCTTGCAAGCAGGCAGTCATGAGTTCGATCCCGGATACCGATTAAAAAAAAAAAAAGAAAAGAACTACATAATAAGACCCTGTCTCAAGAAACAAAACAAAGAAGACAAAAGCAAAAAAACAAACCAAAAAACCCCAAAACAAAACAGCACCCCCTAGGGAAAAAAAAAAACCCCAAAATGCAGCGAATACTGCTGAATGCCATCCGGTGGAAAGGCAGTGTGATAAAAATATTTTGAGTCTTTGCAACTGTCTTCTCTGGAGCAAAATGACCATGGGAAAAAAAAGTGATATGAATTGATCCAGGGCCTTAAGGCAACCATGACAGCCTAAGTAAAGACAATTGTGAAAGAGGATTTGTAGAACTGCTTCAGCAGAGTGGCAAGAACGATAGGATAAGCATGTTTAAAGTAAGAGGGAGCAGAGGATACAGCTCAGCGGCACACACCTGCCTGACAAGTGTGAGGTTGTGTGTTCAGTCCCCGGTACCAAAGTGAGAGAGAAGAGTAGTTCAGAGGGAATTACTGGCAGTGTGTTTTCTCACTGCAATAAATCTTTAAAAATTTTTAAAAGCATTCACCATATTTTTTGATCACACCACCTAGATCCTTGTCAGATACAAAATTTGCAAATATTCTCTTTCTATGGGTTGCAATAGTCTCCTTTTCATGATTTTTGTTTGCTATATGTAACTTCCTTACTTTTGAATTCTGATTTTAGCTCCTGAATGTTAAATTAGGTAAAGGCAGCTGGGTGTGATGGTGCATACCTGGAATCCCAGCACTTTTGGAGGATGAGGCAGGAGGACCACACATCTGAGTCCACTATGGGTGATATAACAAGACCCTGTCTCAAAGTGGGCTGGTGATGTGGCTCAGCGTGAAGGCCTTGGTTGCAATCCACAGTACTGGGGAAAAATTAGATGGAGGTATCACTCCAGAACTGATAAACTTCTTATGGGTATTTTGGAGCTGGACAGAAAATATATCCTTAATAATTCCTCTAAACCAAAGGTTATTGTGCTTATGCTAAAACACACTTGACCATAAAAAATAGAATTTTATATGGAGGTATTCAAAGGGCTTGCCGGCAGTCTTAGCCTTTGGATTTATGCTACACAGTAATTTTCTACAATTATTTTCCTTCCCTATAATATGTTGTAGGTATTTATGTGTGGGATATAGAAGGCAGAAAATATTTTGACTTCCTGAGTGCTTATAGTGCCGTCAGCCAAGGGCACTGTCACCCCAAGATTGTGAATGCTCTGAAGAGTCAGGTGGACAAGTTGACCTTAACATCCCGGGCTTTCTATAATGATGTACTTGGTGAATATGAGGAGTACATTACTAAACTTTTCAAGTACCACAAAGTTCTTCCTATGAACACAGGTAAAGCATTTTCTTCTTGTTGTTCAATAGCCAAAGCAAGGCAGATCATCCTGTTTCCTTTAATTTAAAGCATTATTTAAACATGAGCATCCTTCTCATCTCCCCCAGGAATGGAGGCTGGCGAGACCGCCTGTAAACTTGCTCGTCGGTGGGGCTATACTGTGAAGGGTATTCAGAAATACAAAGCGAAGATTGTTTTTGCAGGTATACGGAATTAAAGTTTAACTGTTATGATTTAAGCGTGCAATATCACCTATACTTTTAAGTTGTTGATGAAATATTTCTAATGTGATTGTTTAGTACATAGTACATTATTTGCTGAATATTACATGAAAATGAATGAGGGATTTCGTCTCTTTGGGTTTATTTCTAAATTATTTCTTCATTTATGAGAGTTTTCTTTCTTAGCTCCCTACTCAGGCGTCCTTGAAATAAGTGACTATATTTCTTATCCGCTTTTCAGATTATTCCATAGCATTCCTCCAGTTAATTAGATGATTTGTGATGGAGGGTTTTTGTCAGGTGCTAGGATTGGGATATGTTGGGGGAGGGTCACATCCTACATGTGAGTTGACATTTGGGCTGTAACACCGGAGGTACCAGTGTGCCATATATTTTTTAGATGCTATTAGGAACAGGAGGTCTGTGGTTTGCCCTTTTTATATTTCTGGGAATGGTTGAATTCTGGGTAGCAAGAGTTAATTGGGATTATGTAATTTGACACTCAGAATCTTCATACAATGTTAAAAATGATAGGTTTTGAGTTTTTAAGCTTTGGTTTTAGTTTTTAAAGAAACAAAGTATATTACTTTGTCACCGTACATGGTCAAATTTTATGCATGTGATAATTGAAATCATCATAATTAAAATTATGAACTCCATATTACAAGAGGATGCAGAGTTCTATTGATGGCCAGAGATAGATGATATTTGAGATAACAAATTAGTATTTCCAAAGAAGAAATGTTTGCATAGCTCTGTAAGTTGCAATTTGAAAATCTTGTGCCTTACTTGTAGGACAACATGACTGTCTCTTACAAACAAAAATGGTGTTTCTGGTGATTTTCATTCTCACAGACTGTGTCCAGTCTCTTTGTTTTTAGCAAAGGGTGCAAAGATGTTTTCGCCCAAGTATTGAGAGACGCTGGTGAGTCAGTGGGGTGGAGAGACAGTGGAAGACTGTCCCCAACTGTAAGTCCCTTCTGCTTGCACAGTGAGCTGTGGAGAATGAAACCCTGAGGCTAGGTAGAGGAGGGCAGGCAGGGATACAGTCCCATTAGTGCCCTTTCTTGAAAAAGCTGGGTTAAAAATCAACATGCTGGTGGGGTGGCACACTCTCACCATCCAGGCACTTTGCCAGGCTGAGGAAGGAAGGTCACAAGTTTGAGCCCAGCCTGGGCAACTTAGTGATTTAGTGAGACCCTGTCTTAAAATTAAAGTTAAATTAGGGTTGGGGGGCTATGGCTTAGTATGAAGGCCCTGACAGGGTTCAGTCTCTAATACTACTAACAAAACAAAACAAAAACCTAAAAAATAAAAAAACCCCTCCCCCGACTCAATATGTACTTTTTGTGGATGCATAAAAGTCAGGGTGGGTAAGTGATGCAAATGAAAGAGACTTTTGTAAGAGTATAGAGATATCAAGGAACTAAATCGGTACTGAGTAAATTGAGTTGCTGCTGGCAGAGGTGGTGGGAAGATACAGAAGCGACCTTAATGTAGACAAATCCCCACCCTCGGTGTTACTGTGCTTTGTTTCATGAATTTGACTCTGGCTAAAACTGTGTAGTTCATTTGCTTTTCTGGTTTATGTTACGGCGTTTTTCTCTACTAGAAAGGAAACTCCATGAGGGCAGGGATCTTGCAGGATATGTTCAGAATTCTTCCCCTACTTGTAGAGTAGTGCACCTAATCTGTTTATGGATAAAAAATGGCCCTGAAGAAAGGTTGGGTATCTGCCGTCTAACATTATACAGCGTTGTATTATCAAGGCCAAATAGAAAATGTTTGGATTGGCTGAGCATCTTTTCTCTAAATGAAATTAAAAGTGCATTTAGTAGGTAGCCTGCAGTATTGGATTTTTAACAGGAAAACTGCTAATTCTGCATGAAGAATATTCCTTTCTTATATCACTAACTTAAATGCACTTTCTCTGGAAAGCAGGGACTGATTGTCTCTATCATTAGTTAGAGTTTGATGTTGGCTTGGGATGAGTCTAAGAAAAGGAAGTATCCTTAGGGGGTGTGTGTAGCTGTTGGGCTGCAGTAGAGAGGAACCTAAAATAAGAATTGCAAGGTCACACCATCAGGCCTAGAGTTTTATGTCAGATGAACCATGGTGTTTAATATCTGATTTTGTTTAAATAATTGAAAGCTCACTGGAGGTTCTCTAAAGCAAATCCTTGATTAATTTTTTAGCTAAACTTCCCAAGGAATTTTGGGGGGACGGGACTTATTAAATGTTTGAATTTTTTGGGAATAATCACTGTTTGTTTCTCCTTTCTAGCTGGAAACTTTTGGGGTAGGACATTGTCTGCCATCTCCAGTTCCACAGACCCAACCACTTATGAAGGGTTTGGACCCTTCATGCCAGGTTTTGAAATCATCCCATATAACGATCTGCCTGCACTTGAGGTACTTTGGTGGTATCATAGTAAATAGAAGCTATTCGGAATGAGTTATTTCTTACTGAATATGTGAATTAAAAATGTAATCTGAGCATTGAGGATGTAGTTCATTGATGGAATACTTGCTTAACACGTGTGAGACTCTGGGCTTCAATCCTTAGCATTGGAGAAGAATGATTACAACACATTATGTGAATGTAACAAAAATTATCTTATATAAGTTAGGCCAACATTTTAGACTTCCCTTTCTTCCTCCTCCTCCTCTTCCTCTCTTTCTTTTCCTCCTCCTCCTCCTTGTCCTCCTTTTTTTCCTTCTTGCAGTGCTAGGAATTTAACTCAGTCTTGTGCTTGCTAGGCAAATACTTAACACTGAGTTACACCCCAACCCCAAAGTAGTCTACTTTTCAAGCCTTAAAAGGCTTTAAGAGATTATTTCCTTTAGATTTCATTTAATGCTATATTCATGTATTAGAAAAATGTGGGATAGTGTAATCTTTTTTGTGTGTGTTTACTGGGGATTGAATCCAGGACCTTTATGCTGAACTTCATCTCCAGTTCTTTTAAAAAGTTCTTTTATTCAGAGGCTGGGGATTTAGCTCAGCGGCATAAGTGCCTACCTTGCAAGTGTGCGGTCATGAGTTCGATCCCTGGTACCGATAAAAATGAAAAAGACAAAAAAAAAATTAAAAAAGTGTTTTATTCTGAGACAGGGTCTCACTAAGTTGCCCTTGCTGGGCTTGTACTTGTGATGCTTTTGCCATTGCCTCCCCAAGTGCTAGGATTCCAGGTATGCATTGCCATGCCTGATAGATGGTGTTATTCAAGTCTGAAGTATTCAAGCCTGAGTTTCCAGGAATTGAATGTCAGTGATAGAGCTTAAATTTGTGAAGTATAATATGTTAGTGCAAACATTTGATCTGTGTACTTAGCAGAAAAATATGTTGAGCATATGATTTCAGATTTCCAAATAACGTAGATAGGAAGGTTTTAAAACTTATTTGTTGGGGGCTGGAGATTTAGCTCAGCGGCATATGCGCCTGCCTTGCTAGCAGGCAGTCGTGAGTTCGATCCCCGGTACCGATGAAAAGGAAAAAGACAAAAAAAAAAAAAAAACCAAAAAAACCTTATTTGTTTCTTTTATAGCGTGCTCTTCAGGACCCAAATGTTTGTGCCTTCATGGTTGAACCAATTCAGGGTGAAGCAGGTGTTGTTGTTCCAGATCCAGGGTACCTCGTGGGAGTTCGAGAACTCTGCACAAGGCATGAGGTTGTTCACCTTAACTTTTATTAGTGGTGTTATTATTAATATTATTTATTTTTTTTGAGACAGGATCTCCCACTGTAATCCAGTCTGGCCTTGAATTTGAGGCAATCTTCTTGCCTTAGCATTCTGAGTACTGGGATTATAGATGTGTATTACCATGTCCAATTTAACTATTTTCATTTCTCAGACAGAATCTTGATATGTAGTTTAGACTAGCCTTAAATTCACCAGATAGCCCAGCTGGCCTTGAATTTATGCAGATCTTCCTGCCTCAGCCTCCTGAGTGCTGAGATTACAGGTCTGTACTACCACACTCAGCTTATTTTAACTATTTGTGATGAAGCCAAACAGGCCTGACTTCCTCCATCTTCTTGAATTCTGCTCATGGGAGAAGTGGATACTAAATCACTCTTCCTCTAGAGGAAGACATAACCCCTAGAGCTCATGAGCTCCCTAGTGCTTAGAAACCTGCATGGCATCTAACATTAGTCCTTGGAACACTTGCCAGGCTCTGGGCTGTGAGTGGAGCTGTAGACCTCCTGGCCCATGGTGTTTCCCTCCCCTCTTCTCCAGGATCATGGCATTCTTAACCCCTCCCAAACCCTGTGTTGTCCTCTTTGCAGAAGTCATGATCTGTCTCCCCTCCCTTCCAGGAAGGCTAATATTGGAATACTGGGGAATTTTGTTTGTTACTGATAACTCCTGTCACACAGAATATAATTAGATGAATGTTTATGGGATAACTAAGTGAATTAACCTTTCTCAGAAGTTAAAAGTGCTAGAAAAGTGCTATGAACCCCCTTGTATTTATATAAATGCCTTTCCACTTCTGTAGAGCAGAGTTTGGTACCTGAGGAGGCAGTGGCCTAACATAGGAAACTGTTGGTATGTTTATAAGACTTTTGTAAGATGTTCTTAAAATTATGCAGATGATTAAACATCTTCACAAGAGAGGGCATGATGGAACTACACATTTGTGGGGAGGAAGAAGTAAGTAATGATCGCTCTTTGCCCTGTGGAAATGAAAATGACAGTGTTGTGTTGTTTCCCAATAGGTCCTGTTTATTGCTGATGAAATACAGACAGGATTGGCCAGAACTGGTAAATGGTTGGCTGTTGATCATGAAAATGTTAGGCCTGACATAGTTCTTCTTGGAAAGGCCCTTTCTGGAGGCTTATACCCTGTAAGTTCAACGTTCAGACTTCCCATTTCTAACTGTCCTGAAACATACCTCTAAAATACTTTACATCCAGTGATTTTACCAAGAATGCTTTTCACATGGTTTGATTTTTAGCGAATTGCTATGACCTCTTGGAATATCTGCAATAAAAATATTTAAGATTTCAGGTATGTGACTTAGTTAATTTTGAGGGAAAAATGGAGTACGCTTTGGAATGTCTGTGGACTTTGCTTAGGATTAAAGCATCTTAGCTATAAAGCACTCTGTAAATGCCTGTGTCTTTTTTCAGTATTTAGAAACATGGCATTCCCAATTGTTTAAAGCTATGACTGATGAACATAGGGATTGAAAACATTAATACTTCCTATTGGCTCTTTTCTTGGATTTGCTAGCCAGAGTTGATAATTGGGGCTGGATTAAAGGGGTCTGAGAAATGGATGCATCTACTGACTAGAATAAATTGTCTTATTGAAGAGGATGCTCAACTATGTTTTCTAAGCAGTTAGACAAAGCTTTTCACCTTGAAATGAAAAGTATTATAAATTATATTATTGTAGAAATAGCTTTTCTTTCTTAGTTCAAAAATTGTATTATTCTGTTCCATGAAGTGTGCCTAATATATTCTTGTTATGTTAGGGTATCACTGTGGTTATTACTGGTAGTTAAGGTGACGTTTGTTGAAGCTTCATGTAAATTTAATGTCAGCTTTGTATAAATATTTACGTGCCTGGTGTGCGAAGCATAGGAATACTCAGTCTGAGAAACAGTGTGGAAAATTCTGCTTCAGGTGTCTGCAGTGCTATGTGATGATGACATCATGCTGACCATTAAACCAGGGGAGCATGGGTCAACCTACGGTGGCAATCCACTGGGCTGTCGTGTGGCCATTGCAGCCCTTGAGGTAAGAACTGTTAACAGCATCTACTTCTTTAAGTAATGTTGAAGTGATTTTTCATTTGGGCCTGTAATAGGAAATTTAGTAAGATTGCTGAGTATGAGAAAATGTGATGGGCTGGGAATATAGCTTAGCGGCACAGGGCCTGCCTGGCAAGCGCAAGGTCCTGAGTTTAATTCCTGGTTCCCTCCCTTAGAAAAAGAATGTGATGTATAGACACAAGATTTTTAAGAGCAAGGTATTTCTCAAAAAGAAATCTAACCTATTGCCTTGTCTAGTAGACTGGGCTTTTTTCCTGGGCTTCCAGAGTTTGCAGTTACTTGGGGCTTACAGTTCTTAGGCCTGACCCTGAAGACTGGAGGCTTGGCTCAGTGGTACAGTGAAGGTTTAGATGCCTGAGGTTCTGAGTTTGATCCCCAACACCATGCACAAATAAAAATAATAAGCAGGGTGTGCTGGAGCATACCTGTAATTGGGAATACTAAAGTACTTTTAGATTTAAGGCTTAAATAATCTGTAGATGGCCATTTTAGAGAAAAAAGGAACTTGTACTGTAGTTTACAACTTAAATTCTAGTTAGTCCATTGATGTGTTCAGATAATGAGTTTATCATAAATTATATTAAACAAATTTTATTTAGTCATGAAGACAGATTGGCAGTAGATTTGTGACTAAAGCCAGGCTCTGAGAATGGTGTGTTTGCTTAATAAGAGATCAACTAATGTAGGCCTTGTAAAACAAGTGAAAGCTAAGTTACTTTGGTCTTTCACTGTTTTTCCTTTATGTTTAGTCTGCGTTTCCCTCCAAGGAAGAACTAAAAAAAGGATAGTCTTAACGTGTGTAATTTTTCTCTAAACATAGGTTTTGGAAGAAGAAAATCTTGCTGCAAATGCAGAGAAAATGGGCACTATCTTGAGAAATGAACTCATGAAGCTGCCCTCTGATGTCGTAACTGCTGTAAGAGGAAAAGGATTGTTAAATGCTATTGTTATTAGAGAAACAAGAGGTATGTAGGTAACACATTTTACTTGAAGTTGAAAGAGCAAGAGTACTTTCAATTCTTGAATCAGTAGTGGTGGGAGAGTGTCCTTCTGTTTGAAACTACTGACTGGCCAGTTGACCAAATGTTTTAGTGATTTATAATTGTATTAGTGATATTGAAAAATACAGCTCTTTTCAACAAAATACTACATGTAACCAGTTTTGACCTGTTTTTGTTCCTCTGGGATGTTTGTTTTTCTGCCTTTAATTAGTCATGCAGTGCTTGGAGGGCCGGAGTTATTTTCTCTGTGTGGACAGCACACTGTCTTTGGGAGTTCTTTGCTGTCCTAACTGAAATCCTTCACACATCAGTGGAGGTTGTGTGAGCAGTAGTAATAAAGGGAATAGCAATGACGGTCTTGGTAGTAAAAATATTGTTGTCATTTATTGGGGGATTTGATGTTTCACTGCATCGTTTATGACTCGTAAGGGGTCCTTGCTGAGTTTTTCCTATGTTAACTCTTCCTTTTAAAGCAGTGATTACAGCCTTGGCTGCACTTTAGAATCACTTTGACAGCCTTCTGACAAGGAATCAAAGCCCGGTCTCACCCCAGAGATTCTAATTTGATGGTTTGGGGTGGGGCACAGACATCTGCAGTAGCTCCTTGGGTGATTCTAGTGTGCAGCAGGACTTGAGACCAGTGCAAGCTCCACAAACCCTGGTAGCATATCCATTCTGGGAATGTATAGTTTCAGTATATTTAGGTTTTGGAGATTGCTTTTTGTATCTGTTTTCTGTGTCATACTCAAATTCTTTCACATTAGTTGCATTAACATCAGTTCCTTAGGTAATTAACAGTTAAGCATCCCTAAACTGAAAAATCTGAAGTTTTCCAAAATCTGAAAGTTTTTGAGCACTAACACAATATCTGAAATGCGAAATTCAAACTTGACTTGGTGAGACAGCTCGTAGTCAAAATGCAGCTGTGCTAAAAACATTGAAACGTATGAAATTACCTTCAGGCTATGTGTATAAGATGTAACATAAACCAGTTTAGTGTGTCACTCTCCCCCAGATATTATGTATATGCACGTATTCCTATGTCCAGAACACTTCTGATCCTTAGCAGTTTGGATGAGGAGTACCTCGCCTGTAACATAGCTGCCTTAGCAAACGTGGTTTTTGCTTGGTCTTTCATTTATGAAAAAACAAACGTGACTAAGTCTAAATTTGCCATTCAAACCTAGTTACAGGACTAACTTCATTTTAAAGAAGTAGAACAGGGCTGATGTGGCTTAGTGGGAGAGGTTGCCTAGCATGACTAAGAGCTCTGTGTTCAATTCTGTAGCACTGAGGGTAAGAGAGCAAAAGTAGCTTGTAGCTCAGAGCTTCCAGATCTCGAGAATTCTTTTTTTTAATTGCAAACCTGCACTTGGTCCATGCCTATGGCAAAGGGATCTTTAGACATTAATCTTAATGAGCGCACATGGATGCCCATTTTTTCCTACAGATTATGATGCTTGGAAGGTGTGTCTGCGGCTCCGAGATAATGGGCTTCTGGCTAAGCCCACCCATGGCCATATCATCCGGTTGGCCCCGCCACTCGTGATCAAGGAGGATGAGCTCCAGGAGGCTGTGGAAATCATTAACAAGACCATCCTGTCTTTCTGAGGGTAGGGAAGTTCATTGGTCCCTGGGAGTTGGCTGGACAGAAGATCCTTGAAATGCTCTGCTGTGAAAATGGGCACATTTTACCCCCACATGTCTTAAAAGGCATTTTAAAAATATTCATATATTTTTTTCAGTTGATGCATAATAGGGTGACATTTATGAACATGTAGTTGGTTGTGTAATATAACTAAGAATGGATGGGCTCTGTATTGGTTAAATATGTGACTGTGTAGGTATGTTCTAAGGTGAAATGCTTTTGTTTGTATATAAACAGCTTTTAAATCAAGTCCTTCTGTAGAATTGACATGCTTTTTTATAATCTCTTCTGGTATAAATGTTTTGTATTTGAAAAAGTTATCTGAGATATTATGTAAACAACTTGTTTAACCTTACATATTGAATCACTGTAGTCATTGAGTAATCATTAATGGCTAAGCATATATAAAGCAGTGTTAAGTAAACATTGGCAACACCAGAATTAATTCATTATGGGGTTCATTATTTTGAACTAAAAATGTGTTCCTAAATTGTTTTAAGTGCTTGATTATAATTTGTAAAGCAAAACATTGATTTTTAACATTTCTTTAAGTTTAAAATAAAGCTTATGTTTAAAATGTCTAATTTCTGATCCGTGTACTGTTACTGCAGTCTTATCAGGTACCTCACATCTCTGAAGTCTTTGAAAATGTTCTTTCTTTACTTTATTCCTTTTTTTTTTTTGCTAAGAGCCTAAGTTTAGCTGGGCCTGGTTGTCTGTGCCTTTATTCCTAGCACTTTGCTGGGGGATCAAGGGAAGAGGACTGTAACTTGGCAAGACACTGCCTCAGACTGCTGGGAATGCAGCTCAGTGTGAAGGCACTGATAAGGTTCTTTTGTTAGTACCCAGCCACCCACCCATCTACCTAGAAGTTTGTGTGACTGTTAAATGATTGTATTTCATAGTATGATAAAACCTTGGATTGTGAGTAACTTGCTCTGCAAATGTCCTACAAGATGAGCAAACATTTCTAATAATTTTTAACTTGATAAGTGATTTCTTATGAGTAGTATGTGACATCAAATGTCCCATGATCATAACTGAGCTAATAGTTCTCTTCTTCCTCCCTCACTATAGGAATGTGGGTGACTGTTTCCCATCAGCACAATTTATGGAGGAGATCTCATCTGCAGAGGAGGAGAAAAAGGTGGAGGGATCCCTCCCTTCAAATGAGATTAGGGAGATGTGTAAAATATGAGAAACTGCAAAATTTTTAGACAAGTATCAGTCCAATAAGGCTGTAGCAGTGTTTGTGATGCATCTACTTACCACAATGCTGTGTCCATTTCTGCAACATCCCCAAAAGGAGGCAAAAGCAAGTATCATTCGATAGGTTCCTTGTTAAAGTACTATGGAAAGAGAAGAAAGATTCCACGTGCCAATAGATAGCAGTGATTAAGTTAGAAGTCTTACTACACAGTAACCTTCCTCTCTTGTCTCCTTCACACCAGACACAAAGCTTTACACAGCTAAGTGCAGGTTAATTTGTTTAGTTTTCTTCATATTTTGTATTTTCTTCATTATTTTGTGTTACAGTATTTTGATAATTTTATATGAATATTTTTGGGTTGTGGAATGAATCATCTGTTTCCATTATTTCTTATGGGGAAGTTTACTCTGATATACAAGTGCTCTGGATTATAAGCATGTTTCTGGAATGATAACTATGCAAAGTAATAACTTTGTTAAGTTCTTATCACCTTGTTTTGAAAGCCTTTATTGTTATTGCTTTGGGTTTTTTGTCATCTTTATTTGTCTCTTTAGTTTTGTGTTTTTCTTTGTATTTTTTTGGTTTTGTTTTGTGGGCAAAGGACATTAACATATATTTTACGAAAGAGAATATTTGACAAGCAATGAAAAGACAACATGACTAATCATTAATACAGAATTACTACATAGCCCTGGGAGTGGCGTTACCAAATGCTGATGAGAATGTGAGGAACTGGACCTGTCATTTATTTTTAATGGGATTGTAAAATGACAAAGCCACTTTAGAAAGTATATTTCTTTTCTTTTTTTGTCTTTTTGAGACAGGGTCTCTCTATGCAAACTGGGCAGGCCTTGAGCTCACTCTGTAGCCCAGGCTGGTCTTGAACTCACAGTGATCCTCCTGCCTCAGCCTCCCAAGTGCTGGGATTACAGGCATGAGCCACCACGCCCAGCAAGAAAGTATATTTCTTTTTTTTTGTTTTGTTTTGTTTTGTTTTTTTGGTCTTTTTCTTTTTTTTTCGGTACCGGGGATTGAACTCATGACTGCCTGCTTGCAAGGCAGGCGCTTATGCTGCTGAGCTAAATCCCCAGCCTCAAGAAAGTATATTTCTTAAGAAGGAAAAAAAAAAAGACACACCTAATATATGCCTAGGAATTTCGTTTTTGAGATTTTACTCCAGGAAGATGAAGTTGAGTCCACTCAGTTTGCAATTGGTCATTGTGGGATTATTCATATCAGCCAAAGCAGGCAACAGTCAGCACCTGTGACAGGAGAACAGTGAGACAATGGCAAAACATCACGAGGAAGAAGCGTCAGCAGTAAAAAGGAATTTTTTACTGCTGAAGCAATGGCTTGGGTGGATTTCACGGATACTAAGGAGGCTGAGGAAAACCTGAAGACACCTGCAGCCTGTCTTGTTTTTCGTTACTTGCTTTTTGCCAAATTTAAATTGAAAAGTTACCCATTTTGCAAGCCACAGTGCTGAGCAATAGCTTTTGGGTGTCTTGCTAGGTTTGGTGTCGATAACACTACTGATGTGGGGGTTAAAATGACAACAGGTGCCTAATTGCTTTCAGGACTCACTGACTTCTTTTGTTCCTGAGCAGATACCTAATGGGTGGCCTTTGGACCTCAGGGGGAAACTCCACCATCAGTTTTTGCTGTGCCACCACTTCCTGGCAATGTGTCCTATGAAAAGCTGTGAAGTTTGATTTTGCATGCATGGGCCACAGATGACTCCCCTTCTGTCACCTTTCCCTCTGCCTTAAATTGCCTTTTGTCTTTGTCACATAAATGTCTCTAAGTCCTCCCTTTGGGAAGATGGATTTGAGACTTGGTCTCTCATGTCCACAGTTGATCTTGCAAGTACAATCTCTTTTGCAAAACTACTCTTTCAGTGATTGTCACATTGTGGGGCAGGCAAAGCAGCCTGGTTCAGCATTTTTTCCTTTACATTAAATTTTTACTTTCTCATTTTTGTGGAGTACATCTTCCAAAGGGGTTTACTGTTCAAAGGAGTGAACTGGTAAGTTCAGTCGTTCCAGGCTCTTCCCTGCCTCTGCTAGGGTGCTTAGGAGTTAAGTCACCCTCTTAGCAGTATGATAATCAGGCGTTTGGTACTCTGAGGAGTGTCCTGCGGCTTCATGAGGTTTAAATGCATGCATGACTACAGAGAGGTCAGTTGCAAATGGGCAGGCACTCAGGCCAGGTAATTTTAAAGATCTTAAGGAGATTCCTGTGTGCAATCAAGTCCAGTGTGCAGTCAAGGTTGACCACATCTGTCTTTGGAATCTTCTAGAAACGTGAATTCTGGTTCTGTGTGGTGACTGTGCCCTGGTGAGATTCTGCACTTCCTGCATGCTGTTTTGGTTTAGAGGCCTATTTGTGGCACATAATCATTATTGGGAATTGGTTTTATTTGCACCCAGAGGTTCTCTCTCACTAGAGAAAGCCTGAAAAGCAAGTGAATTTAACCAATGAAGTTCCCTCCTAAACTCTTGGGAGGCCTTACTGGTCTGAGGCAGAGCTGGGTTTTGGAGGCATAGAGTTGTGCAGAACAGTTAGAGCCTCAGAGCAAGAAGGGTGCAATGAAGCTGGATAACCTCGACTCCCAGGCAAGAGGGAAGCAGGGAAGGGGCATAATCCTGATAGAAAACCTGCTCGTTGGGACACTGAGGACTCATGCCATGCACTTGTTGTGCCACTGTGTGTGTCACTGGGGCCTTCGTGCAGAGGTGAGTGAGGTGGTGAGGGCATGGCTGATTGCCTTTACAGTGACCTGAGCCAGTCAGCAGAGGGGAAGAGCTGGTAAAGAGAACCTGACTGAGGAGAGGCAGGGAAAGGCCAGAGGCTTTAGAACTGGACTTGGTGTGGACTGTCAGAGAGACTGCTATAGTTTAGCACCTTACTTGCCTCATCTGCATGGAGGTGGGATCTTGTCTACATTTCAGGAGTTATGAGCACTAAAAGAGACGGTGTAGGTAACCCCTGACAATGGTTGTAAACAAGTTGCTGTTTCCTACCTTCAGCACACACAGTTGGAAGAATCTGGAAGAGATCCTTCTGCATGAGGCTGACTAACACATAAAGGGCAAGTGGAGCAATGGTCTAAAGTAGAGAGGATCCAGAGTATAGGAGGTTAGACATGCAGGGCTGGGCATGTCCAAAGACAGGGTATAATGCACTTAAAGTAGTCACCACTACGACTACCCCCTGCCCTGCCCCATGACTTCTGACTTTCTAAATTAATCACTGTACACACAAGAGAACTAGGGTTGGGACATCTGATGATCCAGAATAACTCACCAGGTGAAAATGACAATGCCAGGAAAGTGAAGCTCCCAGCCTTTTATGCAGCATAGCTCCACACTATGGGGACCTGCAGGGACATCTGTAGGCGTAAATTGGTGCTTGTCAGTGTTGGCTGCACATGGGTCACTGACTTGCTTGTTTGAAAAAATTAATGTCAATATTTAAGCCCTTCCTCAAATCTACTACAGAGTCCCTGGGGGTAGGGTCTTGCTGAAGACTAATGTCACTTGGGGGTTGTCACACAAGGCCTTTGTCAGGGAGTACAGAGTGTTAATGCAAGGTGGCAGCTACTTGCCATAACAGCCACTGAACCTGCACCTAGAGCCTGCTGAGACACATCAGACACATGGTCCCTAACTACATTAGGGCTTTCTGGTAGATAAACTTACTGGGAAAAATGTTTAATGAATGCTATCTGCCTTATCCTGAGGATAGGCCATGGTTTGGAGAAACAGCCCTCTGCAAGGCACTACTCTAAATATATTTTAAGTCTTATCACAGGTACTGTTACCCCGTTTATCGGTTGGGGAACTACGGCTTAGAAAGTAAACTTACCTTTGGTCATTGACATGGTAAGTGGTGGGGCATCAGAGCCCTGGTAGGGTTAGGAGAAGGCTTCTGCGGGAGGTCCTCCAGGTACCTCAGGGGCTTGGGGTTTGGGGTAGGCTGGTGGCAACTCCATTAGTCACAGGAGCATGACTGAGATGCTCCCTGTCTGTTTTAGAAGCATTTCAATTTGTTTCTAACTTGGGGGAGGGATTCTTAGAAACACCAGGAGGGAGCCATAGAAATGAATAATAAATTCACAAAGCAGTTTAACTCATTTAGGAAAATCGCTTTAACATCTCAAGATTCCTTCTATTCTGTGCATGTGTTGGGCTCCAAGGACTTTCATTATCTCCAGAGGCTTTATTTTGATTAACTTGCAAATGAGATTTCCCCCCTTTCCCTCAGTCCATTCCTTCAAATTGTTCATGAAATATCTGAACTAATACAATTTTTTATAATTTGCGTCATGAGGGCAAAGCAGATGATGACTAGAGACAAGACCTTGGGTGAAGG